AATCTAATTAGCATGTATCACCACATATAGCAACAAATTGTTTTCTTTTGATGAGAATTTTTAAGATTTATTCGCATAGCAACTTTCAAATATATAACACACTATTATTAACTGTAGTTGCCAGGCTGTACGTTAGATTCCCAGGACTTACTTATTTTATAACTGGAAGTTTGTACCTTTTGACCCCTTTCACCCATTTTGTCCTACCTCTGGAAACCACCAATCTGCTCATTGTATCTATAAGTTTAGGCTTTTTTAGCTTCCACAAGTGAGATCATGCAGTATTTGTCTTTCTTTGTCTGACTTATTTCACTTAATATAATGCCCTCAAGTTCCATGTTTCCTTCTTTTTTAGGGCCAAATAATATTTCACTGCATAGATAGATTAGATAGATAGATGATGATAGATGATGATGATAGATAGATGATTGATTGATTGATAGATGATAGATGATGATGATAGATAGATAGATAGATAGATGATTGATAGATGATAGATAGATAGATGATGATGATAGATAGATAGATAGATAGATAGATAGATGATAGAATTTCCTTACCCATTTATCTACTGATGAACACTTCGGTTGCTTCCATGTCTTAGCTATTGTAAATAATGCTACAATGAATATGGGGTGCAGATAGCTTTTTGAGTCAGTGTTTTCATTTCCTTCAGGTGAATACCCAAAAGTGGAATTGCTGAATCACACAGTAGTTCTATTTTTTATTTTTGAGGAGCCTCCATGCTGTGTTTCATAGTCATTGCACCAGTCTACACTGGCACCAGCAGGGCACAGGGTTCCTTTTTCCCCTCATCCTTGCCAATACTTGTTATTTCTCATCTTTTTTATAATAACCATTCTAACAAGTACAAGGTAGGTGATATCGTGGTTTTGATTTGCATTTTCCTGATGATCAGTGATGTTGAGCACATTTTCATGTACCTGTTGGCCATCTGTATGTCTTCTTTGGAAAAATGTCTATTCAGGTCCTCTGCCATTTGGGGGATATTATGAATAAAGCTGCTATGATTTCTTTTATTGTGGTAAAAAGCACATAACATTTACCATCTGAACCATTTTTGAGTGTACAGTAACTACTATTAACTACATGCCCATTGTTATGCAACATATCTCCAGAACATTTTCATCTTGCAAAACTGAAAACTCTAAACCCATTAAACAATAGCTTCCCTCTTCCCCCTGCCCCCAGCTCCTGGCAACCACAATTCTACTTTCCATTTCTAAGAATTTGACTACTTTAGATACCTCATATAAGTGGAATCATGCAGTATTTGCCTTTTTGTGACTTGGCTTACTTTACTTAGCATAACATCCTCAAGGATCATCCATGTTGTAGCATATGGCAAGACCTCCATCTGTCTCATGGCTGAATACTTCAGTGAATGAACGTACACTTATCTCTTCAAGATCCTGTTTTCAGTTATTTTGGATGTATACCCAGAAGTGGAATTGCTGAATGATATGGTAATTATATTTTTGATTTTCTGAGGAACCCAAGTCTCTGAAATGTTTGTTCAAATTTTTATTTTGTGAACAGAAGCACTCAATATCTCTGATACATACCTAGAAGAGCAAGTGCCGAGTTGCAAGGAAGCCATCTGTTTTACTTTGTAAGAAACTTCCAAAGTGCTTTCCAAAAGGGCTGTGCCATTTTTCATTCCCATCCACAATGAAAGACAGTTCCAATTGCTTCATATCCTCACCTACACTTTGTATAATCAGTCTTTGTAATTAAGCCTTTCTAGTGAGTATTCAGTGGTATCTCATTGTGGTTTCAAAGTCTCTCCAAAGAGCCACATTCGTGTTCCCATCAGGCCTTCCGGCACACACCCTTTCCTCTGTTTGGATCACTTCTCTGTCTTCTTCATCCTCCCACTGACCCCCTACTGGCTTCTCCATTCTCTTCCACTTATACTTTAGATCTCAGATCCAATGCTGCTTTCTCTCCTTGGACAACGCTCCCTGACCACCAATCCCAAAATTAGACCAGGTCCCCCTGCTATACTTTTTATGTCTCCCCTGTAGTTCTAATCTTATGTCTGCCCTAGAACAGAGCCAGATGCATGATATATACTCAGTAATTATTTCTTGAATCAATGAAAAATTCAATAAACTGAGGTGTGCCAGCATTTGTGGAGCTATGGGGCTTTGGAGTGAGCCCTCACAGCTGTGGAAAGTAAACTATGACAGCCTTGCTGGAAAGCAGTGTACTACCAGTCAGTACACACAAAACTTAGGACGCCATAATCCTGCTCCTGGGAATGTATACTGAAGACATTTTCACCTGAGGTCATTAGAGCACTTGTACTAAGAAGTTGGCCACAGCTTTATTAATGATGGGTAGATAGGAGGAGTCAAGCCAGGGACCCGGTCCTGGGAGAACAAATAGCTAAAATAAGGTGAATGCACACCATGGGGATGCCATGTAGCACTTAGCAGCTACAGACTAGAAAACATAAATACAGCACTGAGTGAGAATACTAAGCAAGATTAATTACACCTGTGTATATAAAAATAAAATTTGCATAAAATAAAAATACTGTATATGCCCACAAACAGTAACATATAGCTTTGAAGAATGCCTTATGGACAAAATTGCGTACAAGCAAGCCTTAGGTTGCCTTGGAGGAGGAAGAGGGAGTAAAATATAGGGATTAAATTAAACCAATAAATAAGAGAAGCTGTGTCTTACTAAATAACATTATTAATATTAACTAACAATGTTTTAAAAATCATAGGATATGAAATACCCATTTAAGGAAAAATGTAAGAATTTAATTTTATGCCATATCTTATCTCAAGTTAAATGCTTTCTGATTTTCATTTGTATAAATTATAACCTATGATTGGTGGACTGAACTAATTCTTCCCTTAGTATATAAAATTATTTCCCTTCATTAAAAGAAAACCATCAGTGCTCACTGTCAAGGTGGCTTGCTATAGTAGAAGTTTATATCTTTCAATTGGCTGAAGTATTGTACTAAAATTTACTTTTAGAGGTTTTATTTAGACCATACCATGTCTCTACCTCACTTAATTAAAAATAGGATTAAATTCAAAGATATAAAGATTCATATCTTCCCTTCTCCCATCCCTTTCCACAACTGTATTTTTGTTAATCAAGTAAACTTGGTATGTCCAGAGATGACTGAAGTGGATAGCCCCCACATTTCCAGAGCATCTCTTCTCACTCTTTCACCAAAAACAAACATTAAATAGTCACCCTAAACCAGTTCATTTTCTAAGTGTTTCGTGAAGATGATTTCTTAAAGAGTTCCCTTTTAAAAACTATTTAGAGGTATAACACTTTTACTTAGAGACAAGGACTGAGTAAAAATAACACCGCCTATACTAACAGCCATGGATATGAGAAGGGAGAGACTATAACTAATCACAGTGGCAGATATAAGTAATATATTCTGTAACTAACTGTTTAACACTTTGCAATGTATAAAGCATGTTCTCTTAAATTAGCTCACTTGAATCTCACAACCCTGAGGGCAGGGCAGGGATTATTATTTCCGTTTTAAAGAGAAAACTGATAATCTAGAGATGGTGACTTGCTCAAAGTTAAATTTTAGAAAGTGGCAAAACTGGGACTTAAATGCAAGGCATCTAAACCTTGAAATCCAAGATATTTTCCCACTTGCTAGGCTACTAACACTAATTCCGAGCTTCAAGACATAGAGAGAATTGGCTAGTTATGTGTATGTGTATTTGATTCAGTAGAAGGTGGGGAGCAGTAAATGGACTACTTTCAAAAAATGGTTACTATAAAGTGATTTTGGAGGGAAGAAAGGAAGGAGACGCATCTAAATAGAAAGCTTTATATCGTACTTGCCAGTCCCCATGTTTCAACAGAAGGGGCTCTAGTTTTGCTGGTAATGGGGTTGCACTACAGACACCCTGATCATGTCCTCCTGCTCCAGAACCAGAGCAACAGGGATCATGAAGAATCAGGGAAACCTGGCACCACCAAAGGAACACAGTAACCATCTAGTAACTGAACCCCCAAAATGTAGATACATGAATGCCTGAAAAAGAATTAGAAATAATTGTTATAAAGATGCTCAAAGGGTTATAAGAGAACACAGATAAACAATTTAACAAAAAATCAGGAAGAACACAATGAGAAATACAACAAAGAGATAGAAAACCTTAAAAAGAACCAAACAGAAGTTCAGAGCTGAAGAATACAATAACTGAACTAAAAACTTCAATACAGAGCTCAAAATCAGACTGAACCAAGCAGAACTAAGAATCAGCAAACTCAAAGTCAGATCACTGGAAATTATCCAGTCAGAGTTTCAAAAGGAAAAATAATGAAAAGGAATGCAGAAAGCCTTTTGGACTCATGGAACACCATTAAGATAAATAATTGGTGAATTATTGGAGTCCTAGGAGAAAAGAGGGTAAAAGCGGCAGACAGCTTATGTGAAGTGACGATGGCTGAGAACTTCCAAGACCTGAGGAGAGATTTGAACATTCAGGTTTAGGAAGCTAATAAGTCAGCCCCAAATTTCAATCTAAAATGATTCTTCTCCAAGACACATTATAATAAAACTGTCTAAAAGCAAAGACAGCCTGGCTGGGCGTGGCTCAGCGCTTGAGCATCCACCTATGATCCGGGAGACTGAAGTTCGATTCCCGGTCAGGACGCATGCCCGGGCTGCAAGCTCCATCCCGGTTGGGGGTGTGCAGGAGGCAGCCGATCAATGACTCTCCCATCATTGATGTTTTTATCTCTTTCTCTGCCTCTCCCTTCCTCTCTCTGAAATCAATAAAGATATATTTAAAAAATAAATAAAAATAAAAGCAAAAACAAAGAGATGATTGTAAAAGTAGCAAGAAAAAAACAATTCTCTTGTTCAAGGGAACTATCAGTGGATTTCGCAGCAGAAATCTTGCAGGCCAGGAAAGAGTAGAATAATATAGTCAAAGTGTTGAAGAAAAAAACTTCCAACCACAATACTGTACCCAGCAAAGTTGTTCTTCAGAAATGAAGGTGAGATGAAGACTTTCTCTGCCTTATACAAAATGCTGAACGTTCTTCAAGCTGAAAAGAAAGGTTGATAATAAGTAACATGAAAATATACACACTGGTAACAGTAAGTATATAGGCAGCTGCAGAATACTCCAGTATCGTAATATGATGGTGTGTCAATCACATAATTCTAAAATAAAGGTTAAAAGACAGAAGTATAAAAATAGGTATAATTTGTTAATGGATGCACAATATAAAAAGATATAAATTGTAACATCACAAATATAATCTATTATCAGGTTAAAATAGTCTGTTGTATCTATGTTTCAAGTAAGCCTCAGAGTAACCATAAAACAAAAACCTGTAGTAGATACACAAAATACAAAAAGAAGGTAGTCAAAGTATACCACAATGGGAAATCATCAATTCAAAAGGAAGACCTCAAAAGAAGACAGAAACTACAAAACAGACAGAAAACCATTAACAAGATGGCAATCGTAAATCCTTAACTATCAATCGTTACTTTAAATGTAAAGGGATTAGATTTGCCAATCAAAAGGCATAGAGTGACAGAATGAATTTTTTTTTAAAAAGATCCAACTACATACTGCCTACAGAGGACTCACTTTAGTTTCAAGAATACACATAGGCTCAATGTGAAGGGATAGAAAAAGATATTCCATGTAAATGGAAACCGAAATAGAACAGGGTTAGCTATACCGATATCAGAAAGAAATAGACTTTAAGTCTAACATAGTAACAAGACACAAAGAAGGTCATTATACAGTGATGAAGAGGTCAATTTCTCAAGAGGAAACAACGATTGTAAATATATATCCACCCAAAATCAGACACCTATGCAAATACTAACAGATCTGAAGGGAGTAATAGGCACAATACAATAATAGTAGGGGAATTCAATACCCAATTTTCTATAATGAATAGACCATCCAGACAGAAAATCAATAATGAAATATTGGGCTTAATCTTCAGACCATGTGTACCTAACAGACATACACAGGATGTTCCATCCAACAAAAGGAAAATATATACATTTCTTTCCATGTTTCACATGGAACATTCTCCAGAATAGGTCTTGTTAGGTCACAAAACAATTCTTAGCAAATTTTAAAAGCTTGAAATAATACCAGCTATTATGAAACTAGATGGTATGAAACTAGAAATCAATAACAGGAAGAAAACTGGAAAATTCACAAATATGTGGAAATTAAACAACACCTGTTTAATTTCCTAAATTTACAACTATGCAACTAATGGATCAAGGATTAAATAAGAAGAAAATAAAAAAAAATTATCTTGAAACAAATGAAAATGGAAACACAACATAACAAAACTTATAGGATGTAACAAAAGCAATGCCAAGAGGCAAATTTACAGCAATAAATGCCTACATTAAAAAAAGAAAGATCTTAAATAAACTAACTTTACTATCCTAAAGGACTAGAAAAAGAACAAATTAAGTCTAAAGTCAGCAGAAGAAAGGAGATAAAAATCAGAGCAGAAAATAAATGAAATAGAGAATAGAAAAACAATAGAAAAGATCAATGAAACTTAGTTGTTTTTAAAAAAAGATTTTAAAATGTCAAATCTTTAGCTAGACTTACCAAGAAAAAAGGGGGCGAACTCAAATAAATAAAATTGTAAATGAAGGAGGAGACATTATAACTGATACCACACAAACACAAAGTGTTATAAGAGACTACTATGAACAATTATATGCCAACAAATTGGATAAACTACAAGAAATGGATAAATTCCTAGAAGCATACAACCTAGCAAGTTTGAATCATGAAGAAATAGAAAATCTAAACAGACCAGTTACTAGTAAGGAAATTTAATCAATAATCAAAAACCTTCCAGCAAAGAAAAGCCCAGTCCAATGATTTCACTGGTGAATTCTAAAAATTTAAGGAAGAATTAACGTCGGTCCTTCTCAAAGTCATCCAAAAAGGACTGAAGAGGAGGGAACACTCCCAACTCATTTTATGCAGCCAGCATTACCCTGATACCAAAGCCAGACAAGGATACTAAGGAAAACTACATAGGCCGATATTCCTGATGAACATAGATGCAGAAGGCCTCAGCAAAATACTAGCAAACCAATTTCCACAGCACATTAAAAGGATCATGCATTGAATAGGGTGGGAGGATGGTGCAACATATGCAAATCAATCAATATGATACATCGCATTAATAAATGAAAGATAAAAATCATATGGTCCTCTCAATAAGTGCAGGAAATTCAATATCTTTGATAATAAAAACTCTCAGCAAATTGAGTATAGAGGTAATTAAGGCCATATATGACCCACTGCTAACATACTCAACAGTAAAATGTTGAAAACTTTCCCTCTAACATCAGAAACAAGACAAGAGTGTCGCTGTTGAGTATATGATCTTGGATATAAAAAGTGCTAAAACCACCAAAAAACCTGTTAAAACATTCAGTAAAGTTTCAGGATACAAAATAAGATCCTTATGCCCAAAACAGTGAAGACTGATTAAATAAATTGAAGAATACACAAATGAATGGAAATATATTTCATGTTCACAGATTAGAAGAGTTTATATTGTTAAAACATCCATACTGCCCAAAGTCATGTATAGATTTCAATGCAATTCTTATCAAAATCCAATGGCATTTTTCATAGAAATAGAAAAAATCCTAAAGTTCATATGGAACCACAGAAGACCCTCAATAACCAAAGCAATCTTGAGAAAGAACATAGCTGGAGGCATTCCGAGTTCAAACTATATTAGAAAGCTAAAGTAATCAAAACAATATGGCACTGGCATAAAAACAGACACAAAGACCAATGGAACAGAATTGAGAGCCCAGCAATGAACCCTCACATATATGGTCAGCTTATATTTGATAAGGGAGCCAAGAATACTCAGTGGGGAAATAGTAACCTCTTCAGTAAATGGTTTTGGAAAAAAACTGTATATTCACATGTATAAAAGAATGAAATCAGACCCCTATCTTACACCAGTCATAAAAATTAGCTTAAAATGGATTAAGGACTTAAATTTAGACCTGAAACTGTGAAATTCTCAAAAGAAAACAGGGAAAACGCTCCTTGACTTTGGTCTTTGCAGTGGTTTTTAGATAGAAAACAACAAAGCACTAAAAATAAATGTGACTACATCAGACAAAAATCTTCCATGTAACAAAAGACACAACAAAACGAAAAGGCAACCTGTGAGAGAGGAGAAAATATTTGCAAACCGTGTATCTAATAAAGGGTTAATATCCACAATCTACAAGGAACTCATACAATTTAACACCTAATAAGAAGAAGAAGAATCCAATTTAACAATGGGCAGAAGACCAGAATATTTTTCTAATATGTACAAATGGCCAACAGCTACATGAAAAAGTGTTCAATATCACTAATCATCAGGGAAATGCAAATCAAAGCAACAGTGAGATCTCTCTCCTTACATGTGTCACAATGGCTATCATAAGACAATAGATAAGAATATTAGTGAGGATATGGAGAATAGGGAACCCTTGGGCACTGTGGGTTGGAACATAAATTGGTACAGCCACTGTGGAAAGCAGTACGGAGGGTCCTCAAAGGTAGAACTACCATGTGATCCAGCAAAGCCCCTTCTGGGTATATATCCGAAGAAAACAAAATCATGTTTTAAATGCATAGAAATCTTGGCTTTTTCCCTTTTAAATATATAAAATAACATGGCTAAGTAGTTCGTTTGTCTTCATAAACAGCTGTGTTTCAAGCATAGCATTTTTTTCTGGTATGAAAGTAATTCATTATAGAATACTGGCAAGTAGATAAGCAATCTGAAAAAAGAAAATGAAAACCACCCACCTGTCATTCCACCATCCAGAGAAAGCCATCCTCCATGTCGGTATGGTATTTCCTATGGTAGTATAGTCATGGCTCTGTATCTGTATGCGATTCAGCACAATTTTATGCATATGTTAGATGATGAAAAGACAGATCCAAAGTATTAAATAACTAATGTCTCAGTGTTTGTTGTTTACGGGTTAATTTTACCTCCTTTATTTTTTTTAACCTGCACTAATTCGGTAAGGAACATCTTTTTTTCTCATGGTCTTAAACCTGAAACCGCAGCTTCACAGAAGTGAGTTACGTTAAAAAGTTGCAGCATTAGCAAATTGCAGAGCTCAGACTCAAAGGCAATTCTCCAGGCATCTAAAATTCCAGTATTGTTCCCTCGACAGTCCAGCCACCTCGTGTATGTGGATTCCTGCTACAATTTGTCCTTTTGGCTAAATTAAAAAATCATTCTAAAAGTTTGCCTTAAAACACCCTCAGAGTGTTACTAAATTAAGGTTAAATCTCAAGTATAAATTTTCAAGCAATTAGTTTTGGTTTTACCCGAGCAGAACACCCCACAGATGATGCCGAATAAAAACTATTTACACACACTACCATAGTGCATTTCTTGTAAAAACGTTGGGTCTGTAGCAGCGATTTGCTAATCAAATTCAGAATTTGATTTGAAATGCCTCCGGCAGGCGGCCAATCCAGTTATGAAAGAACAGAAGCAAAAACCAGAGCCCTGGTGAGTTTCCTCCAGAAGCTAGCTGGGTCCTTTGCTCTAGTTAGCAAACCGGTTCCATAGGAAATCACTGCAATTGCTCCTAAAATAAAATATCGTAGTTAATTTTTTCAATAAATTATCAGACTGAACTAGACACAAAACATGTACATTTTGGAATCTAGAGTTATAAAATATTCTGACATGTTTTAATATAAACAGGAACATTTCCAATGATTGCTTGGATCTAAAATGTTTTTCCACTTGACATTTGTTTATACTTCCTAGGAAAGAAACTCTATTTATGGATAACTGAACAACACAAATAAACATTAGAGAGAGCTGAAAAATCAGCTTTGATTATGCATGAAAATCTACAATGTCATTGTGTACTCTTATGCCGTATTCTGATTGCCTGTTTATTTTTACAGAATCGCTGGTGAGCCTATGGAAGAGGAGCCAGCCTTGTGAAGTGCCAAGTCCCCCTTGCCCCCCCATATTTCCTGTGTGTGACATCATTGTGTATCCCCCCCCCACCCCAGCACCCACAGACATGTCTTGTCTGCTGCCTGGGTGGCACGGATTCGATGGAACATAAACACTGGGCACAAAATTCTGAACAGCAGCTTCACTTGTTCTTTGGACGGACTTGAAAGGGCATTAAAGATTCCTTAAATGTAACCGCTGTGATTCTAAAGTTACAGTAAACCACGATTGGAAGAAACTGCTTCCAGCGTGCATTTAATATATGCTGGGTGACCCACTCCCAGGTCCGGAGTAGGAACTAGAAACATCCAGTACAGCATTAGATACTGTTGATTACAAATGCTATGACAGCCAGTAAAATTTTGGGCAAAACCTAAGAAATACTCATTCCTGACATTCTGATCAGTTTTTTATTGGGTAATTTTTGTCAAACAGTCTCAAATTGTTTACAGGATTTGCTTTCAACTATGAACAGATAGCAATTCCCGACAGAGTGCAGGGATTTTGTTTTGTTTTGTTTTGTTTGTTTTTTGGCCTTTGTTTTAACACATGGTTCGACTCTTGCTAGTTAAGAGTTGAAGATGGAGGAACTGGGCCGAGGCTTTTTCAGCAGAACAAACCAAGCTATATCTCAAAGTCCACATGCCAAACAAACCTCAAACACTGTATATAATGGTGCAATATTTTATGTCACTTTTTTGGAAAAAAAATTACCCTGTTTCCCTAACATCCCTCTCTGTGTTCTCACACACAAAGGAGATTTGCAACTGAAATTGAGGATGAGATCTCCCTCCCCGCTCCCATCCCTTGCTCTGATGACAGTAGCTCGGAGCATATGTTTCATGGAGGATTTCCAGTGTCTTTGAAAACTTTTCAAAGATGGTCTTAATTTGTTCCAAATCTATCAAGAACATATTCTCTCACTTTTCTTTTCTGCCCTCTATCACTTCTTTTCTTCTTACCTTTCATCCATCCTTCCTATAGAAAAGCTAAAGATTACCTACAATCTCCCAATTTCTCAGGAGCTTTGAGTATTTACTTATTTTTTTTACTTTTCAGGTTAACACAGTTGCTTGGTCTAATGAGTTCTCATAGCTGTGAAATCATTGAGGTGAATATGGCTTGAGCAATGCTACTGAATTTTCTAGATCTTTGAAATGCATTAATGAAGGCATTACCTATTTGAAGTCACCTTGAATCGAGTTAACCTTGAAGTTGTGCCTTTATGTGAAAAAAACAAAACTGCAAACTTAACCTTTACACATGTTGCCTTAGCATCAAAGGCTAAAAGTAACAGACATTTATTTCTGAGATTAAAAGTAGCTTACTAAATATAAGTAGGTCATCCCCCTACCATCCAAAAATCCATTTCAATGTATAACTCGAACACATAAAGGCATTGATATAGAATACCTCGCAGTATTTAATATCTGACAATGCTTTTGAAAGAGTTGATGTTTCTTTTTATATATTTTCCTAACTCAAAGGATATATTAAAGCCATAAGTGAAGATTGTCATGCTTTTATTCAGAAATCTGAAAGAAACCTTAATTAAAACAAGGTTTTAGGGAAGGCCATGATATGAAAGATATGGAACAATATGGTTTTAGTTAAAGAGGACTCGAACCTGTAAATCAAAGATGAAAGATTTCACTCAAGTAGAATTATATAACTCCCTTTTGTTATACAGTCAGACCATATTTTTCATGCATTTGGTTTTTTTAGGATTACCATTTTAATTTTAAAGACTTTTATTACATATACAAAAATGGCTCGATACTTGGTTTAACATCTTAGAAATTTGAGATGCCCTTTGAAATAGGAAATCTGAAGTGGAATGTAACTCAGTATTAGGTAAAAAATTACTTTCATTGAATAGGAGTAAGGTCAATGTCAATACACAATAGTAATGAATTTTTTTGTAAAAAAATGTCGTGATATTTTCAGAGAAATTCATGACAGTCATATTTGTTAGCTCTTGCTATTTTGCTGTAATTCCTTGAAATTTACTAAAAGGAAACCAAATAATGGGCCAAAGCCATTTTTAAAAGGTTCCCCTCTTTAAAACAGAAAGTTATATCATTTTAATTGGAAACATAATTGTGACTATTTAAAAATAAATTGATATTTACAAATCTCTATTATTGCTCTCCATCCTTCCAAATATTCTTTAGATGTTGAGTAAGAAAATGAGCCGGTTTAGTGCAAACATACTAACTCACTGATGTTTCCTACAGTCATTTGGTCGCATTCTTATGCACAGCCGTCAGTCTGACGGAGCCAGATCACTGGGACATCTCCATGGCTGTTTAGATTCCAAACGTAACACATTAAGGAGTTGATTACACATCCTTCCATGCGATATGTGCCCAACTGGTTGCACTGAGAGTCTTTAGGATACATGGAGAGCCTGATAAACTATGGAGAGGATTAATCACAGCTGAATGTAGCGGTAAGAACAGAAGGCAGTGCTTTTTTAGACCCTTACAAGGTGTAGTGACGCCCTCAGGGACAGAATGGGAGCTTTTAGAGAATATCAACATATCTTTTGAAATAGTCAGCACTTTTGAAAGGGTAGTTTCACTTGGTGTAGTTTTCTTGACTTACACATTTCATTTTTATTGTTCACAATAGTTCCCAGTAAAAGGCTTATTAGAGGACTGTGTCCCTAAGCTTTATCAATATCTTTCTGATCCATATTTTGAAGGATAATCACATCGGCTTTCTCACAAACATAATAACTCACACATGAACAATAAAAATAATGTATTTTGAGAAATCTAGTAAACAATGCTAGGAGTTCAATTTACGATTGAATTATAGGTATAAGAAGAAAACGTAAGAGAATTAATTTTCTCAGATAGTATAATCTGGGTTTGTATATTAAATTGAAAAACTGTTTTATTAGATACTAAGTAAGTGACCTCAAATGGTAACAGAGGCTATTTAACCACTGTTTAGTAAGTGGTAAGGACATTTTGAGATAAAATATTTTTAAATCTTTTACCAAATTTACACCATCCATGGTGGAGAAAGAAATCATCTTTTGGAGAAAACAGAGAGACTTATGAAAAACTATCACCAATCACATTTCCCTTACCAATACTAGGAACTGAAATATTGCCTTTAGTTTTGACTGTAAGCCTTTGCAAAACTCGCACACCTCTCCATGAAAACAGGACATCTCACACAGGATTTCAGAAGCTGTGGGGCCAGTCTCTCCAGAAAGCTTGATGCCCTTCTGTTTCTGAAGGTCATTCATAAAGCTGTGTAGATATAGTGGGTTTCTTTACAGGCACCATATGGAACTGAAATAAAATGACCATGTGGACAGTCTCCTGTGAGACAATTTCTCTTCAGTCAGCACTTTAAACTTATGTTTTATCCTAGCATTTATGTTTAGGACAATTTATTTAAATATTTCTATTTATCTTTTGAAAGTTCACTCTCAGTTTGCCTCAATGAAACTATTAAATGTCTAATAATCACTATACAAATAAGCCAAAGGTTTCTGTCTTAAAAGTGATTCATTCCGATCTTGAAATAATCACTCTGTTGGAGTTCAACATTGTCTTTTGAGCAGCATCTATCTTAACATGCTTTTCCTGCTTCAGAAACGAAATCACTGGGCATGCTGAGAAAATAAGAAAAATGATAGAAAAGGTGGGGAACAACATACCTGTTCAACTACAGTATTACAAAAAGAGGGCATTTCACCTCCCAAAGAAATAAAAACAAGGTGATCTATGCTAAGAAATGAAGGCATTTTATTGTTGTCTTCAAAACTGATCATCAACATGGTCGTGATCATCAACTAGTTCTTGTATTCTCAAAGAACACAATTATATTTTGGGCTCCAGCAGTATTTTGTACTATTTACTGCCTTTTTACTGAAGTATCATGAGTATTATATCACCTTCATCAACACCATCACTGAAATACGGAAGTGCCTATATAGGGCTGCTTTTCCTGGTCATGTTTATATGGGAAATCACACTACCCTGGCCTCCTAAAGGCCCTTTTTTACTCCATCAAATATCTCATGAAGCTCAGCATGATTGTCATGTGGCCAGAGTATACATTTTTTAGATGAACATGGTATACTCACACAGGACTCTACAGCTTGGTGTCTCCAAATAACTGCAGTCCATTTTTTTCTATAATATACCTGGCTAGTTTTATATAATGGTTTATGCAACAACTGAGTCAGTTATTATTATGCTGGGAAAAGCTTGGTCAGACAGTTGAAGCTTCCACTAGTGATCTGGTACTGTTCGGACTTGATCTCAATCACGGAGTGATAGGGCTGTAACAATTTCTCAAACCGTCCCAGTTCTCAGCCTGAAACATTTAGCAACTATATGGTGAATTCACCTCACAGTGCCAATCATTCTAACCAATTTCCTTTCCACTCTTCTCTCCTTCCCCTGTTCAACTGCCAATACTAAATTGCCATAGACAATAATTTTTTAAATCTCCACTTTACGCTTCCTAAAGTAGAAACAACCTTGGCAGCTTATTTTCTGAGACGCCAATAAGTATACTTTCTTTCCTGCCATTTTGTATAAACACTGTAGTAGCTGTTCTTTATCTTGATTTTTATCTCTTCATTTTGAAGAACTACTTGACTTTTTTACTATTCTTAAAAGATAGATCAAGTTATTGTGCTTTGGTCTACAGTTTTGGGCCTGGCACTTTGTTTTATTAATATAGAATTTCTCTTTTTGTCTCCACTACAGTTTCCCACCATTCTTGATACTACCCATTATGTTGTGTAGTTACCACAGAGAGGATTGTACATGTAATATTTTTGCCCTTTGGATGATGTCTTTATGAGTCAAACCTGCAAGCATAAACTCCAAACTGAAGAAAAAATGCGAAAGAGACATTTTAAATTAATATAATTTGAAAGTAAGATATTTCCAGACTATTCAAAGAAAATCACATCCTTTTATTTTTCTGTTTGGGCCTTAGGCACATTGGAGGCAAATATTGCAACATCAAATAATAAAAGGAGGGACAGATGTTTTGTGAGATGTTGTGGTCACATCCTTTCAGCTTCTTTGCAGTGCCCTTTCTTGGAGTTGGTATTTTATGACAATTGATAGAGATCTTGCAGCGATTTCTGGCTATTGCTTTTTTTCATTAACTTAAAATTGAGTAGAAATGGGGTAATAAAAAAACTTAAAAAAAAACACCTTAGGAATTCAGAATTCTAAAATCTGAGGAAGAATGGCAATTCCTTGGATATGGAAACATTGTGTTTAGATTAAAATCTCCATATGCTCTTCCTAGATGGTAAGATTCTCAAACTTTGTGGACGAGCAGTGACAGTGTCTATCTCCACAGCGGCTGGGTTGTGGAGATAGGGCAGTGGTTGCTGGGCATAAGAAGCATGCTATTAAAAATGAGTGACCACTTAGTAGATTATAGCCTAGGCAGTCTGTCATTTGAAAGCAAATATCCTGATATTTTTAAATAATGTGGGCAGGACAGGCAGGAATCCAGTATTTATTACTCTTGCAATTAAACACTCTAGGCCTGGCTTGTTGATGTATGTGCCAGTGATCTGGAGTTTCTGGCTTAGTGTAATATTTAAATGTCTCTTCTATCGTGGTCTGATATCTGTTTCTGTAATAAGATCAGTGTGTTGTCCTCTCTGCACCAGTGGTTTTGCCCTTAATTTTTTGGCTAGCAGTCACCAAATCTGTCATCCAGTGCTGCTGAGAAAAATACACGTTGCCAAACTTCTTTTCTTAAAATTGTGCTGCCAGTGATGTCTTCTCACATGTGAAAAATAATTATCCAATAAAGGATTAACACCTAATAACAATACCACTGAACATTTTCATGCAATGTTCACCTTCTTTCTGATTCCTTTTTTTTTGGTATTTGAAAATATTAAATGGAAAATTCATTGGTGTGTTCTGAATTATCGTTGATGTTAATACCATGACTTTCCTTCAGAAAGGATGAAAGACTCCCTTTTGTCCTGTGTTTTCTACTGAATTAGATTTTCCTCTAGTACTAGTATGAATAAAAGCTATTTGAAATAAAAGTGTTCTCATTTTTCTGCCTCCTTGGTGCTGACCATTAGACTCTGAATACTAGGTATTTGACAAATAGTTGTTGAACAAATAAAATATTACTAATTATAAATTACTGTGACATATACTGTTCCACTTTGAAAATCTGAAAGAGTTACTTGCAAGTAAATCCCTGTTTTAATGATGTGAGAATTCACGAAAGAAGGAAACGTAAATGAAAACAGAGTTGCTATTTGGACGTAATTTGCTGGTCAGGATAAAAAATACTAATGGTTAATACTGATGAAGCCCCAGCCGTGCGCCTGTTCCAGTCCTGAGCACTGGACCAAACTCGGGTTTCCCAGCACACGGCCCTACTCCCAGCTACAGATGAGCCGGAGCAGGGAAAAGTGAGCTCGTTACCTGTTGTTACAGATACCAAGGGGGAAAATGAAACCCTCTCTGCTTCCATCGAGCTCTAAAGTCTGCATCCTGTTCTCTCGCCCTCACCCGCTTGGCTCAGTGGTTAGAGCATCAGAGCCCGGACTGAAGGGTCTTGGGTTCAGTTCCAGCCAAGGGCACGCACCTCGGTTGCAGGCTGGATCCGGGGCCCAGTTGGGGCTCGTACAGGAGGCAACCAATAGATGTCTGTCTGTCTCTCTTTCTCTCTCTCCTCTCTTTTCCTCCCTCCCACTCTCCCACTCTGAAAAGCAATGGAAAAAATATCCTCAGGTGAGGATTAAAAAAATAGTAATAGCCCGGCGGGGCGTGGCTCAGCAGTTGAGCATCGACCTGGGATCCAGGAGATCACGGTTCGATTCCCATCAGGGCACATGCCCGGGTTGCGGGCTCGATCCCCAGTTGGCGGCGTGCAGGAGGCAGTCGATCAATGACTCTCATCATTGATGTTTCTCTCTCCCTCTCCCTTCCTCTCTCTGAAATCAATAAACATATATTTAAAAATAAATAAATAAATAAAGTCTGTTCTCTCTCCAAATGGCATACATGATACGTCAAAGATGATATGCTAGAGGCATTCTTAAACTACAAAAACTAGGACTAACCTTCAGTATAGACTGTATGCTCAGTTTCTGCTGATCTTACGATTTTCTTAAATTATCATTTTAAATGGGTCTGGTCATTGTGGCTAGGTTTGTACAGTAAGTACAAGTTACAGACATTTCTTTTATTCCCTGTTTCAACATCTTTCTTTACTGTAGCCAAGAGCCCTAAGCTGTCTTTGGAATACATATTCCAAAAACGCTTGAAATCGATTCCAAGACCAATACTTATTTTTGTATTTTATAACCCCCTGCAATGTTTAACATTCTAAAATATAACTGTTTCCAGTGGACAATGGTTTGGGTTCCTTCTCGGAAAAGACGGCAATATTTTGTCTAAGGAAAAGTAAACTTGAGATGAAGTGGGAAGGTAGAGTCAGTTTC